AGGGGAAGCATTTAAATAATCCTGTGAATGCACTTAAAGAATGCAGAATCGAATCGTTAATCGAATCAAATCGAATTTAATTGTGAATCGAATCAAATTGAATCGGTCTGAATTTGCAAAAATCGTTCTTGAATCGAAATGAAAACCTATGAATCGTGAATCTAAACTATTCGCTGTCTACCCAAAGATTCACAGCCCTATAATTACCCCATGATTTACTCACCCTCAAGCCATCCTAGGTGTATATGACTTTCTTCTGATTGGCTGAATGTCATTCCAGGAGCACTGATATACAGTCCAACAGCACTGGGATTTTTGATTGTTTGTAATTGCTTAAAGAGATTTTTCACCCCAAAATGAAAATTACACTCAAGTCATTCTAGGTGTATATTACTTTCTTCTTTCAGACAAATACAATCAGAGTTATATTAAAAAATGTCCTGGCCCTTCCGAGCTTTATAATGGCAGTGAATGGGGGTTAAGATTTTGAAGGAAAATAAAGTGCATCCATCCATCATAAAAAGTACTCCACACGGCTCCGGGGGGTTAATAAAGGCCTTCTGGAGCGAAGCAATGTATTTGTGTAAGAAAAATACATTATAGCCATATTTAAAACTTTATAAACCGTAATCTCTAGCTTCCGCTAAATGTCGTACGTGTGTTCACGAGAGAGTGCCGTTTCAGTTTATGGCGTAGGTGTAGCATAAGCTCCGGTGAGAAATGACGAATGTGGAAGCGCAGAGGATAAAGCAAAACAAAACAGCAGTCAAGTATTAGAAGTATAAAACAAGGATTTGTAAAGAAAAATGTTGGAGGTGTTACATATTCATGTAGTATTTATTTTATTTTTCTGTTTGTAATGATTTGCCTGTCCTCTAGGGGGCGGAAGTGTTTTTTGCCATGTGTTTCTTGCGTTTCATTAGGAGCCGATTTCATACACCTGTGGACTGCCTTAGAGTTTGGATATACCACGTCTCGTCGCCAAACCTGAGTGAGGGGAGGTCACCGGAAGAAAAACAACAGCAGCAACATGGCTTAAAGAAAAGTTTGGACACAATAAATGGAGCAAAATTTTTCATCGAGCAAACAGCTTGCATCGCTAATTTCTTCCCGACATCCATTTTCAAATAAACAACTCCTGTTTCATGTGTTGTTTCGTGTCACTCCCGTTCCAATTCTCTTGTGTGTTTTTGTGACAAAACGTGGTTTGTAGAGTCGTTGGGTGACCGAGTTGTTTGTGTAGTTGTGTGTAACCTCCGGTTGCGGATCATTTACATAGAGTCACGTAGTGTGAACACCACAACGACTTAAAGACACAATCAAGTCATGTAGTCTGAATAGCACAGCGATCTGCCAACGTTTAAAGTCGTGTAGTGTGAACTTAGCATTAGAGGAAGCTAGATATTATGGTTTCTAAAGTTTTAAATATGGATATTTTTCTTAAACGCATTGATTAAATTTTTATGATGGATGGATGGATGCACTTTTTCGGCCTTCAATATCTCGACCACCATTCACTGCCATTATAAAGCTTGGAAGAGCCAAGAGATTTTTTAATACAAACCTTAGTCATATATACCTAGGATGGCTTGAGGGTGAGTAAATCATGGGGTAATTTTCCTTTTTGGGTGAACTATCCCTTTAAATAAGAATGTTTTTTGCTTCCACATCTTTTAAGACATCTATATGTAAATGACCTCTGGTCTTGACGAAACTTTTGCATGTGACCTTTTGCATTTCTCAGGGTAGGCCAAGTCGCTGCTCTAAATGAGCAATTCTGACATCTCAGAAATAGTCTCAGAGGACCTTATCCTATTTTCCATGATATGTGCCCTTTAAAACGTAAGCAATGTTTCAGATGTTACCTGTGTGTTGGCTCCCAGTCTCAGACACATGCCTCCAGAGCTCGTGCCGTCACCCTGCTCGGAGGGGTTCAGGTGGCGACTGAACCGTGGCAGTGGGACGGCTGGATGACTGTCAGCAAGGAACATGTTGGCAGGTGCTGGGATGATAGCGGCATTGGTAACAGGACCTGTCAGAGAGACAAGATGGATTAAAACATCAGTTTTCTATGAAAGCTGTAGCAGTTTAATAAAGGTTTGTGAATATTGAAATCCTGGAGTGAAAACAGTCCATTTTAACATGAAGCTTTTCCGCATTTTTGACAAAATAACAAAACTATAACTATATATATATATATGTGGGTCAAAGACAAGATGTCCCATTTTGGTATCTGCAAAAAGATTACAAAAGTGATTTTATATACACAGAAATATATTAAATGCAAGTGTCAGCTTCAATGTTTCAAATAAATGTTGTGAAAATAAAATATGAAAATATGGGTGGAATAATGTTCCATCGTCATTCAGCATAACGTATGTATTTATGTAGAAATTTAACAACATACCCATTCTGACCTTTACTTATTAAAATATATAAAAGAATAAGAAATCATTCAAAAAATTGTATTATATTTAAAATTATTTAAAACTTCCAGCTGACAAATGAGTAAAACTTTGAACGATCTTTGAAAGATAGTGGCAAAGATTTAAAATCTGCCTGACAAGACTTTTTGGTATTTAAACTATTGTTACACTGAATGACATTTTAGTGAATGTCTTCTGTAAATCATGGTAAAATGTATGACAGTCATTTATTTTAAATTAAATTGTATATATAATATTATATATTTTTTTATCAAATAAATTGTGCCTTGGTGAGCATAAGAGGCTTCCAAAAACATTAAAAAAAAATCTTACCAAACCCCAAATTCAAATAATGCATATGCACACTACTCAACTACCCATCTAAAACCTGAAAATCTGAACTTCTTTTCACTTCAATTTTCTCCCCTACTGAGTGGAATTGGATTGGAGATAAAACCAGCAGATAATCTTTTACAACTCCAGCACTCAGAGGCACTAAAGAGCTCTTCACCTCCCGCTTACAATGTTGGACATTTTTATTTGCCCATTACTGTCAGTGTAGAACATACCAGCACCAAATCACTGCAAGCATCTGTGTGTCTGAAGCCCATCTTTCACACTGACCGAAACACACTGGCAGAAGAAAGTTTGTTTGCTTTTATTGAGCTGACGCAGTGTCTGCACACTCTCAGGAATATAAGAGTGTTTCTGCAGTTCACCTGAGATTAATTAACAACAACTAGGTCCAACTGAGCTTCTGCCGTCTGCTGTCTACTGTCCTCTATAAAAGAGTTAGCTCAACACAAATCATCTGTACCACACATAACATTTATTCAGCAAGAACACATTAAATAATCAAAATGACAGCAAAAGACATTTATGTTACAAAATATTTCTATTTCAAATTGATGCTACTCTTTTGAACTTTCTATTCAAAAAGAATGCTGAATTCCACTAAATTACTAAGCAGCACAACTGTTTTCAACATTGATAATAATCAGAAATGTTTCTTGAGCAACAAATCAGCATATTAGAATGATTTCTGATGGATCATGTGACACTACACTGGAGTGATGATCATGAAAATGCAGCTTTGATCAAAGGAATAAATTACATTTTAAAATATATTAAAACAGAAAGCAGTTATTTTAAATTGAGATAATATTTCACAATAGTACTGTTTTTAACTGTAGTTCTTTTCACCTAAATACAGCAGACTATATACTGTATATTTACATAATATTTTATATATTATCGGCATTAAATACAGTAAAAAGTTGAAATGAAAAACATACAAATAAAATATGAAAAATCCCAAATTTAAGCATTTTCCGAAGATTTGTGGACCCTGCTATATATCAATATTATATCCAACCCTCAAGGTAACACATAAAATTCAACAAAAAAAAAATGGAATAAACAAACCAACATTTGTAATATTTCTTATGTACTTTACAGCTAAATCCTAAAAAATATTTCCATGATTTGCAGGTCTGCAATAGATTTTGACACAGATTTTCAAAATGGTCACTTTTGGACGTAATTTAAAGAAAATAGGATGTATTCAAAATTGCATTTTGGTTTCAAATTATTACATTTTTTGAAACAGTGAAGCAAAAACTGAATCACACCAACGTAAGTTCATTCATGCGCCAACAAGAGTTCAAAGTTTCCATAACCCAGAAAATGCCAGTGATTTTCCATCAAAAACAGATGAAACCCCAGCAAACATAATTAAAGGGGTCATATGACGCGATTTCAATTTTTCCTTTCTCTTTGGAGTGTTACAAGCTGATTGTGCATAGATAAGATCCCTGAAGTTGCAAAGACTAAAGTCTCAAAACCAAAGAGATATTCTTTATCAAAGTTAAGACTCTGCCACGCCCCCCTAAAACGGCTCGTTCTAACATGCCCCCACATATCTACCTCACTATGTGGAAATATTTGCGTAATGCCGCCCAAATGTGCACGCAAAGAAAGAAGGCGTGGTTTCAGTAACCGCAGTTAGTGTTGATGCAGCCATGTCAGAGAGACGCTGTGTGTTTCTAGGCGAAAGCAAAAGCACTTTATTTGGCCTTCCGAAAGTAGATGCATTTAGGAATCTTTAAGATTACTTACAACAGAACAGCAATGCATTTTATGGACGACCGTTTCGTGAACCTAGGAGAGGAGGTCATTCTGACTTTGCTATGACAATCTGGCGCTTCTGAATCAGCTACTGTTTTGTTATTAGTTTAAGTATTTGCTATTGACTGTTCAAATGCGGAGTTTTGCGCATCGTGTGTGTGTGTGCGCGAGCGAGCGCGAGAGAGAGAGAGAGAGCGTGCAAGAGAGCGAGAGAGCGAGAGAGAGAGAGGTGGGGGGTCACATCAAAGTGGCGTCAGCTGTCTTAACCGTGGCTTGTGTAATGCAAACACATACAATACACAAAATAATGATCTTTAAAAAATCATCATATGACCCCTTTAAGGTAAGAATCCACACTTCAAAGACGCTTTGGAATAACGGTTTTCAACAGCACAATTTTGTCCCGTCACCCTCATATCCTCTAAAGATTAATCATTGCATAATTCACAGAAAGAGACAGAGTCAGGAGATCTATCACACAGAAGAGTCTGTTGGCAGATTAGATTAGACTCATAAACTGTGTTGGCGTTTGATAGAAAAATTAAAAAATGAGTTTCATCACTCACACGGACGGAGTCATTCCAGCCGCTGATGACATCAAAAGTTAAAACTGGCCACACGGGAAGCATCTCACCAGGCTGCAATTGTTTGTTAAGGGGTTTTCAGTTCCCCTGGTACAAGTTGCAGGAGATCATTACATTAAAATAAGATAATAAAATAATAACAATTAAAAAAATAAAATTCATGAGTGTGTGCCCATGTGGTCTAATTAAAAGCGCAATAGCTGGGCTCCACTGTAAACATGAAAACAGATATGGAGATGAACATCAGGCTGCGTTCATTTGCCTTCATTTTTGTTTTGAAGCCATTAAAAAAGTGACTTGACTCCTCTGTTTCCTCTGAAGCCTTTCAATTCAGAATTTATGATTTATTGAGGCCAGTCAAATTAACACAAAGGCACTTTCGCAATCTGAGCTTCCAAGGCGGCCCTGTGCTTTCCGCGAAAAAGAAAAGACGGTGATAAATAGTTTTTTTGCAGAGCAGTGGCTCAGTGAACTGTGCGTACATTAATCTCTGTTTATGAACGATGCCAAAACAATTATGATAAAACAGGTAAGCAGTGATGCAGCGGCAGACACCCGGAGGACGAGCTGTTCTCTCGGCAGTGCGGATTTGGCGGGAGAAATGCTCCACTCCTCTCCAAACGCAATTAAATTATATGGATCTTTTCATCAATTCAACCTGGATCAGAATTGTTCAGAAAGGCAAAATACAAAGCCCACGTTTTATACAAGCCCTTTATACAAGGGAGAAATCTATGTAATTATGTGGAATTTATTTAAATAAGATGAAATGTGGTAAATGCCACAATGACACAGTTATGTAGACAATATAATGTATGATGTAATTATACATACATACATACATACATACATACATACTCTGAATACTTTCCGTACCCACTGTATATATTTGGCATTTTTTTTAATGAATCTGTGCCGGCTGGTTGTGCTGCAAATAAGCCCCGATTTATAGGCAGGCGCATCTGCGTGCAGCTAAGTGTTGTTGCGGAACACCGGAGAATCTCTCTCTGGCT